GTCCCTGGTGATTTGCTGGTGGGGGGTTGAAAGCCACTCCCCCTTGATTGGTGGCCAAAATTGAGGCAAGAACAGGAGATTTTGGGGCTCCTTCAAACGAGTTTCTCCCCCCAAGTGGGGCTGGTTGGGGCCTGGAACCCGGCGGGGGCGGAGCATCCAGAGGGTCCCTCCATGACACAGTGGTGGAATGAACATCCCTGGTGACGTCATGGCCGTGTCAGCGGTGACATCATGGCTCTGCCAGCGGTGACATCACAGTTGATCTTCTGGTGACATCACGGCTCTGCCATCGGTGACATCATGGTTCTGTCGGCGGTGACATCATGGTTGTGACTTTGGTGACATCCCAGTTGATCCATTGGTGACATCATGGCTCTGCCATCGGTGACATCACAGTTGTGCTATTGATGACATCATGGCTGTGCCAGTGGTGACATCCCAGTTGATCCATTGGTGACATCCCAGTTGTGCCAATGGCGACATCATGACTGTGCCAGTGGTGACATCACAGTTGCCAGCAGTGACATCATCCCAGTTGTGCCTTTGGTGACATCATGGCTCTGCCATCAGTGACATCACAGTTGTGCCTTTGGTGACATCCCAGTCGATCCATTGGTGACATCATGGCTCTGCCATTGGTTACATCCTGGTTAGGCCATTGATGACATCACGGTTGTGCCATTGTTGACATCACGGTTGTGCCACTGGTGACATCACAGTTGTACCATTGGTGATATCACGGTTGTGCCAGTGGTGACATCCCAGTTGAGCTGTTGATGACATCACCATTATGGCAGCGATGACATCATGCTTGTGCCACCAGTGACGTCCCACTTGCGACGTCTTGGTTACGTCAGAAGTGACGTCCTGGTCCTACCATTGGTGACATCACAGTTGTGCCATCGGTGACATCACAGTTGTGCCATCGGTGACATCACAGTTGTACCTTCAGTGACATCAGCAGCGGGGTTGGTTGCCCGAGGAGCCGGGCAGGTCCCCAAAACACGTCCCACGGTGCCGGGGACAACCCTCAGGGGCTGTTTCATCGGGCAAGGGGACGGTGCAGCTCCGCGGCCGCACCCACCCCCTCCGTCCTTCGCTTTCTTTTCCTCTTCTTTCCCATTTTCTCTATTTTTTCCCCCATATTTTGATTTTTTCCTCTTTTTTTTTTGTTTTCACACCTACGTCACTACCTCTTCCTCTTGCCGATATTTTAAACTTCTTTCTTTTTTTTTTTTCTTCAATAAACACGACGAGTCCTTCCCACAGCGTCTCCGCACCCCTGGAATTCTTTCGTTTTCAGTCAAAACCTTCCCAAATTCCAGAGATTTCAGCAATTCCCGACTTTTCCAAAAGCAGGCTGAAAAATGGCAACTTTTTATCCTTTTTTTTTTTTTTTTTGGAAAAAATAGTCATTCTCAGCCTTAGTTCTTTTCCTTCTGTATTTCTTTTGATGCTTTTCTATTTCGTGTGTAACCCTTTCGGTTTCTTTTAGTGTTTTTTTTTCTTTTTTTTTAAAATTTTTATAAATTTTCTTCATTTCTTCTCCCCCTTCCCTCCCAACACCGCCCCCCAAGAAGCCCTCGATCCCCCGGAAACGGGGAACAATTGGGAAATGGGAGACATCGGGATTTCAGGCAGTAAAAAAAAAAAAAGCACCGCCACCGCCTTTGCCCGATCGTTACCGAAAAGCGCCAAATCCTGCTCCGAGGGACGGAGCAAAAAAAAAAAAAAAAAAGTAAAAATGCTGGAAAGTTCAGTAAAAATAATAAAAGCCATAAACTCCACCACAAACACAGGAAAGTTTTCACAAAGTCCATGGGGAAAAGGGAAAAAAAAAATTAAAAAAAAAAAAGAAAACTATTCCATTAAGTGCCTGAAAAATGATGTCACAAAATCGCGTGGTTTCGCCCCAGAAAGTATTTTCTTTCCAAAAGGAAAATAATGATTAAAAATTAAAAAGAAGAAAACCCCGACTGGCTCCGTTTGTGAGGAATGAGGAGGGATAAGAGGAGCTCAAGGAGACGCCGCAGGTGACGGGGACGTGGAAATCCCCCCAGGTCCCTCACGGCAGCTCCCGGGCGGGCAGACTCCTGTTTCTGCCATTTTTTCTCCCAAAATGCTCCAAGGTGGGAGCAGAGGGTGGTACCCGGACAGGGATGATGACGTGAACCTTCATCCGATGGGGAGCAGAGGGGGAAGGTGGGGAGATGCTCTGGTGGGCACCGAGGGGAGATGCTGGGGTAAGGGGTGGGGTGGGGAGTGGGGGGACTGGGATGGAGGTTGGGGTCCTGGTGGGGGGACCCTGCGGGGGGGGGGGAGCACCCAGTGATGGCAGCGAGATCGTTAATTAGCCACGAAGGTTGAACAGCTCCAGGTGGGAACAAGCTCCCCGGCTCTGGAGCTTTGAGGTCAGGTCAGTTGGGTGTTGGGCGAGAGACTGGGGAGGTCGGGAGGAGGCTGGAGCCACGGCATGAGGGGCAATTCCCCATCCTCCAATTAGTGAGATCATTAATTAGCCACCAGGGCTGAACGGCTCCAGGTGGGAACAAGCATCCCCCAATGGTGGGTCTTTGAGGTCAACTCTAGTTGGGTGTTGGGTGAGCGGCTGGGGAGGTTGGGAGAAGGATGGAGCTGGGGCTGCAGCCAGGGTCCCTCATGCCCCAATTAGGGACATCATTAATTAGCCATTGAGGCTGAATGCCTCCAGGCAGGAATAAGCCCCCCAGTGATGGGTCTTTGACATCGACCCCCGTTGGGTGTTGGGCGAGTGGCTGGGGAGGTTGGGAGAAGGATGGAGCCCCAGAATGAAGAGGATGTTGCTATCCTCTAATTAGAGAGATCATTAATTACCCACCAAGGCTGAATGTGTCTGGGGGAAAACAAGCCCCCCCCAATGACGGGTCCTTCAGGCCAACCCCAGTTGGGTGTTGGGTGAGCGGTTGGGGAGGCTGGGAGATGGATGGAGCTGGTGGCCACAGCCAGGGTCCCTCATCCCCTAATTACATCATTAATTAGCCACCAAGACTGATTGGCTCCGGGCAGGAACAAGACCCCAGTGATGAGTCTTTGAGGTCAACCAACCCCACTTGGGTGTTGGGTGAGCGGCTGGGGAGGTCGGGAGGAGGCTGGAGCCGCGGCCTGGGCCGGGCCCCGCTCAGTTGATGAGGGAGGGGGTCTGGGCCCCCGAGGAGGGGGCCGAGGGGAAGGAGGGG